AACAAACGAGGAAGAAAAAAAACCCAAACAACCCAACCCCCAAACGGTTTCGATTAGCCGGCGCAGCAAACTAACCGAAAACCTAGGGAAAAGGCACGGATGCGCCTAAAATGTTCCCCTCCCTTCCCCGCTTTGCGGCCGGTAACCCGCCGGCCGTCCCGCCGCGGTCCCGCACCGGCGCCGCTACGAGCACCTGCCTCCGGCTCCCCGCTCGCCTCGGAACAGCAAGGAAGAGGAAAACGCCATTTATTTAAAATGCCGCTTTTTTTTTTTTTTATTTAAAATCTCAACAGTGGATCACTTTTTTTTTTTTTGCAACCAAACAAGTAATAAATATTATTTAGCAACTTTTTTCTTTTTTTCTTTTTTTTTTTACAAAAATAAACAGATGATAAAATCTCTGCAAGGGGCAGCGATAAGAAAAGTTGTTATTTCAGAAACAAGCCCAAGTTCTCAGTATTGCAACACGGACAGTGTGAAAGTTCCTACACAGAAAGAGCATTAAAGAGTTCAAACTTTGTTAAAGGTGGCAGGAACGAAAAAAACCCAACGTGTTATACGCTTCAAAAAACAAAACCCCAACAAACCCCAAGAACCCAAACCAACGAAATCAAGGCAAACCGACCCCTTATTCACTCATGAGGCTTACACAGTACAAGTGCACGGACGGAAAGCTCAGGCAGAGCGGACTTGCGTCGTTATCGTTGAACGGTATATTTACAAATCCCGAACCAGAAAGAAAACCGGAAAAAAACGGCGGGCGGGGGAAGGGGAGACTAAACCGACTTTCCCGGCTCCACTCCCACCCGGAGCCCCGCTGCTCCCCGCCAGTGCCGGGAGTCCCGGGAGCGGCGGCCGGGGGCTCCGGGGCTGGGCTCTCCGGGGCGGGATGTGACCCAGAAACGGCTCCTAAGGCTCTTACGTGTAGCAACGAAACCGGGAGGGGCGGAGGGAGAACAAACAACAAACAAACGAGCAAAAACCCCTCGACAGTTTTGGTTCCTCCATTCGCGACGAGCCTAGGACTACCTCCCCCTCCTAGCGAAGTTACCGACAACGTAAAATTAAAAATCAAGAGGATGCGCGGGCGCTCGCTCGCGTCGGGGCGGTTTCCCCCGCCGCTGGGGGAGCAGGGCAGAGCCCGGGCCGGGCTCCGTCCCATCCCGCCGCCCCTCCGGCAGCCCCGGGAGCG